TCCTCTGACTCTCTGACTCTCTCTGACTCTCTCTGACTCTCTCTGACTCTCTCTGACTCTCTGACTCTCTCTGACTCTCTCTGACTCTCTGACTCTCTCTGACTCTCTCTGACTCTCTCTGACTCTCTCTGACTCTCTCTGACTCTCTGACTCTCTCTGACTCTCTCTGACTCTCTCTGACTCTCTCTGACTCTCTCTGACTCTCTCTGACTCTCTGACTCTCTCTGACTCTCTCTGACTCTCTGACTCTCTCTGACTCTCTCTGACTCTCTTGATCTCTCTGACTCTCTCTGACTCTCTGACTCTCTCTGACTCTCTCTGACTCTCTGACTCTCTCTGACTCTCTCTGACTCTCTCTGACTCTCTGACTCTCTGACTCTCTCTGACTCTCTCTGACTCTCTCTGACTCTCTCTGACTCTCTGACTCTCTCTGACTCTCTGACTCTCTGACTCTCTCTGACTCTCTCTGACTCTCTCTGACTCTCTGACTCTCTGACTCTCTGACTCTCTGACTCTCTGACTCTCTGACTCTCTCTGACTCTCTCTGAACTCTCTCTGAATCTCTCTGACTCTCTCTGACTCTCTGACTCTCTGACTCTCTGACTCTCTGACTCTCTGACTCTCTCTGACTCTCTCTGACTCTCTCTGACTCTCTCTGACTCACTGACTCTCTCTGACTCTCTCTGACTCTCTGACTCTCTGACTCTCTGACTCTCTCTGACTCTCTCTGACTCTCTGACTCTCTCTGACTCTCTGACTCTCTGACTCTCTGACTCTCTGACTCTCTGACTCTCTCTGACTCTCTGACTCTCTCTGACTCTCTGACTCTCTCTGACTCTCTCTGACTCTCTGACTCTCTCTGACTCTCTCTGACTCTCTCTGACTCTCTGACTCTCTCTGACTCTCTGACTCTCTCTGACTCTCTCTGACTCTCTCTGACTCTCTGACTCTCTGACTCTCTGACTCTCTCTCTGACTCTCTCTGACTCTCTCTGACTCTCTCTGACTCTCTGACTCTCTCTGACTCTCTGCAGGGACGTCATCAAGAGAATAGACCAGTCAGAGTTTGAGGGCTTCGAATACATCAACCCCCTGCTGCTGTCCTCAGAAGAGTCTGTATGAAGGAGAGCAGCTCCCCCCCGCCCACCTCCGGGCTGTCCAAGCTGCCGTCTCAGCCAAACCCAGTCACAAGCCAACTCTGAGAGGCAAGGATGAGGAGGAGGAGGAGGAGGAGGAGGAGGAAAGACACCAGGTAGGACTCTCCCTCTGGACCTTGTCAACGAGGCTCAGCGACTGGAGACAGTTCCCTTCCTGGACCGTTCCGATTGTTTGTTGGAAACTCTTCTTTTCTTTACGAGGAAAACAAAGACACTGGACTTCAAGAACATTCCCTGACGTTTTGTTGTCTGTCCCTTTTCTTATCTCTTCTTTTGTCCTCCGGCTTGGTTTCTGTCCTCTCTGAATGTCCCCCGTGGTGTTGAGAGAGAGCCGTTTCATTCTGTGCCTGCCATCATGAACACATCTCCGCCCGCCTCACATCCCTGGATCAATATGACAGTTCTGAGGAAGAACTTGAAATTTGACGTGCACTTTCTTTTGTTTTTTTTCTATCTTGTAGGGGGGGGGGGCGACGCCTCACACAACAAGAATGTACAATGACAAAGGAAAATAATAAGTTATTATTGTGTAATATAATGTAGGTAGTGACTCCAGGATTGACGATGCCTTTTTATTGATGCAAGTGGCACATTTCCATCGTAACCACAAACATTTCTTTTGTTATCTTTTAGGATTTTCACAAAAACGGGAAGGGGGGGGCACGTACTGGGAGACAACTTTTTATTTAAGAAGTGCCTCAAAGATCGTATTAATTACCATGGCTCTGATTGCACTTATCTCTTATTGAAGATGTTCACACATCATGGCTTCAGAAGATCAACTGGAACCATGGCAACTAGCATGGTTGGTCCAGACCATTCACATTTTATGGGTGAATCAATTTATTGGATGAAAGGTAGCCTGCACAACACTGAATCTTCTTATTTTGAATGAATCAATTAATCAAATCTGTGTAGAAGCGGTTCTCTGGGACGGATTTATAAGAGTAGCATCTAAGCTAACAGCAGACTACAACTAGGGTCAGTAAGAGACATGATGAAATGTCACAGATGGGGGGGGGGACACCTTTACAGTCCAATGTAAAGTTGTGTACAGGCCGCAGCCACTCTCAGTCCAGCAGCTCTTCGAGGCAGCAGTTAGCTCTCTGATGTGGTTCCTCTTCAGAAACAGAGCTCCCAAGAGAGGCTGGGCCCGGCTCAGACTCTTCAGACTCTTCCTCTTACTCACCAGATGCCCAGCGGGACTCTCTGCAGCCCGGCGAAACACCGTGAGCCCGGTGGGTTTCTCCCTGTTATGTGGCAAAGTGTCTCCGTTTCCATTTTGGGCTCATTGTGTTTCCGTCCCCGCTCTGAGGCTGGCTTCACACGGGGCAACTACAGCCCAGCGCTGCTTATTACATTGTTCCTTTGGTTTTATGGGTTCAATGAAAGGACTCAACTCAACTCTTTCAGTCACACATCCTGTGAAATGATACATTATATTTAAATGTATTGTTATTTTACATGGTTTTATTTCTAAGAGAAACTAAGGACTGTAGAGATCCAACAGAGTGGGTGGGGCACAGAGCGAAGGGGGGGGGGGGGGGAGACACAGAGCGACGGGGTAAACTCATGTGCAGCATTTTGTTACTGTAGCAGTGGTGTTGAGCAAGAAACCAAAAGATATCAAAAATAAAACGTGTTATTTGGTCTTAAAAGCATAGGACTGATTACAGAGCAGAGGCCGTTTCATCTCAGTTTACAGCCCCACGTTCCTCGCATTATATCTTTCACCATAAGGAGAGAACACTCTCATTGGGCATGTGTGATTATTTTAAATGTAACACTGAAGGACACAAACTTCATTATAATAACTCAAAATAAATTATATTTATTATGATATTTGTGAGTAACAACCCAGGTCACCTCTTAGACATGTCATGACATAATGGGAAAGGTGACCCATTCCACTAAATACTAAAGTGTAGAATTGATAGGATGAGGAATAACAGGAAAAGCGATGGATGACAAGCTATCAGATAAATAAAGTCCCAGAGAGAGTTTGGCCAGCCCAAGGTTGACTGGACATTATTCGTAAAACCTAAACAGTCCCATTGGACCAAAAAGCCTGTTATCCCCGAACAGATAACCATTGCTTCAGAAAGTCTCCCTGCAACAAAGAGAAGGACATTATTATATCATCTCAATGCAGAAGAGACTGTAGCATAGGCACGAGGCGCCCTCCTCTGACCTGATTGGCCAGTAGCTGTCGCCTTCATTGGTGAGGTTCAGGCACGAGGAGTAAGATTGGTTTGGCCGAGGGTAAAAACATCACATCAAGCCAATCAGGGGTAGAGAAGGTCGGGACATGCCTTCACCGTCACTCTGCATGTTAATAACTGTGATAGATGCTTTCTGTTTTTGGATAAATGGGCTTTCAGTCCAATGGGACATTTTGAAGACCCTTATAGGGTTTCTAAATAAAAAACATTGGAACAATGGAATGGCAGAGCCTCTTCAGACCAGGCCTGGATTCACAAACTGCTTCCAGACTTAACCATATGTACTTAAACAGCCAGGAAATAACTGTATTTAATATGAACAATACTGCCAAATAATAATAAATAAGACGCCAAGAAACATGAACACTTCTGTGTAAGCAACAAACCCCCCCCCCCCCACCACCTCACCTCACCTCACCTCAGATTCTTAGTCTTGGTTTTTTTATGATTTGTGTTTTAATCGAAATTATGATTTCTTTTTTTGTTTCACTTTTGACTATATTTTAATTTAGACCTTTAATGAACACTGATGCACTGAGCAGTTTGGTGAAAGGAAAAAGACAGATTGTTTCTATCACACAAACTAAAGTATTGACAAGATGTACTGTATTGGTATTTGTATTCTTGAGTTCGTTGTGAGCTTCAAATGTGGACGCTTTGTTTTGTTTTCAATGTTTTCAGTGAGGAAGAAGTGCTCTGCAGGAGTTAGTGACTCCCCGTGTGAAGCCAGCCTTACCCATTGGCTCCTTCCTTCCTGTTAGAATGTATCAAATCCAAGTTTACATCTCCACAGCTATGCACAAGCCATGATTTATTGGAATACAGTGGCGTTTCAGGCAGGTTTAACTCCATATCCTGCCTCCTTTATGCACGGCAGGCAACATATTACTGAGCACATTTTGGAGACGTGTGCTGTTCAAAGGTCCAGATAACAATCTGTGAATATCAACTACAAGCTGGGATTAAAGCCCCGACAGAGGAGTCATCGTCTCTGAAGTGAGCTTTGTGTTCATCTCCACGTCTGAGCAGCGCAGCTCTCTATTGGCTGAGCTTTAGCTGATGAAATCTGACCCGTGCTAATTTGATAAGCACATAATAGGATTAATTAGCTGATCCTGAGTCAAATGGTCTCAATTAGCTGTAGGGCCTTTACGGGCAGCGAAGAAACAGATAGAGAGAGGAGAGATAATGAAACCGTTTCAGTCACCGATTAGTCCGCGACAACCAACACACACTTCAAGAAGAAAAAAATCACTTTACATTCGAGGAAGCTTCCTCCGTCAACCCCCCGAACTCCGTCTCATTTGCTGCGTTTTCTTAATGCCATGTTTTGTTGGTCTATTTGCACAAACGTTAGTGGCATTGTTTTGTTTTTTCCTGAGGGACCAATGGATGAACTGGGAGTCCTTGACATCTCTTTCCAGAGGAGTGAAGGCCACCCCAAATCAAATAAGACACTCTTTATCTGAAAATGAATGAAGTCGCTCCATGATTCTTGGTGGGAAATCTTGCTGGTTGGATATGCTTAATTTGCTTCACCACATCTTTGTAAATATGTGTAATTATTAAAAATGATACTGGTTTTCTGTGAAGAGTCCCTTTTCTTTGCACACGACGGCAGAAACATTCTTGCAGATGCTACAGGTGTGTGTGTGTGTGTGTGTGTGTGTGACTGAGACATCCATTTTCTTTAGTGCTGCTAATCTTACCAGAAGCTGTGTAGTAGTTTTACACAGTAGAGTTTAAAGGTCTCCTATCAAGTCCTTTTTACATAAATATGTGTCCCCGGTGTGTCAGGGAACTCACAAAGTCTCAGAAAACAAAACCCTCTCTCTTTTCCTCCGTACCCAAAGAATGAACCGCATATGTCACCTCACCAGTCAAAACACTGAATGAAGCAGTTGCAAGTTTAGAATCCGTTTCCTGCGTTACACAGGGTGGAGAGGTTGTGAGCTAACTGCTAACGTTAGCTCAGCATGTTTCTCTCATTTCATTTCATCTGATAACTTCAAGTCCAGACATGCAGGTAAAGTTAGTAGAGTAGATACCACAGAGATCTTTAAAGTGTTTTGTCATACGTTACTTCAAACTGGACCGAAAGTCAATTAGGACAGCTTCTGGCATCTGTTTTAAGGGATACGATGCAATTACAAGCTAAACGTAAGTACATACAGAAATGAAAAATCAAATATAGGTCCAGTCGTTTATAGACATTTTAATACAGAGATGTTAAATATTATACCTTTAAGCAGTTTTAAAAAATGTTTCTGTGCTTGAGAAGATCAAATCAAAATACATGAAGTGGTTAGCTTAGCTTAGCATGAATATTCCCAGTGGGAGTAAAAGCCGGGCTGCGTCTCTGAAGCTCTCCGTTAACACACATTTCTTTAATTCATCTGTTAAACATTACAAGAGACACAAATCTGTAACATTACATTCAATTCATTTCAACAGAAGTCTGTCAAAGGATAGCCCTTTTCTTTAGCAGCTTTGTGCCTAGTTTCATTTTGTTTTTAGTGAGCAGAGCAGTCAAAGCGCCCTGGTGTCAGAGTGTCTTCAGTTGTGAAACTTCTTCCAGTGTTCATGTCTTCTGTCCAAAGAGCTTCTGTCACTTTGAGTCAGGCCCAGAGTGGAGGAGAGCTCCGTCAGTGTACCATCTGATCCTGAGTCAGTGTGTGTGTGTGTGTTTCCTGTCCTCTCACCAGCTCATGTCCACATTGACCTCAGACAGACAGCGGGCCAGGTGGCCGTCACGCTCCATCTGTGTGGAGCTGAGAGAGGAAGAAGCAGATCTGTTGGTGCTGACTTTACCATCGGCTAAAAACAAACTAAAGACTCCAAGTGATCACATCCAGCGTGAGCTCACAGTGAGTGTGAGTGTGAGTGTACAGGTGAGGCTGTGACACACACACACATTTAAAGCTTCAGTTATACTATTCAAAAGCTTTGAATGTGGTACCATCATAACCCTATGAATAAATGGAAAAAGTTTTGAACGGCTTCACACAAACAGATATATATTGAAGCTGTCAGTGTTAACGCTCATATTTAATATGGAAACCTAAATGCATTCAGAAAGTGTGGGAGATGATGGACAGATATGAACATCACCATACAATCAAATACCCTTTGCAGCGCATATTATACATTATATATTATACAATATATATTATATATTGGCATTGCAATCCCAGGGACTGACAGCACCTTTGCCACAAGTTATAATAAAGAATAAAACACTTAGATGTATTTGACTGGGTTGTCATGCAACACCACTCATGTATTTGTAACTAAACACATATAGAGTTTAATCAAATTGAGGGGGGGGCAGAAAGCCTACATTCTCCAAACATGTGAAATAAGGAGGTGATGGAGGAGAAGGAATCCTGATGTTACTCCTGGTTAAGGAACAACAAGCGATAACTGTGTAGCATCACTCACCCCACAGTGAACTCCAGCAGGCACATGGGACAGCTGTGCAGCCCCCCCCCTCCTGCTGCAGCTCCAACAGTCCTCTGCACCCCCTCCTCTTTATGCTCCTCCACCCTCTGTAGAGAACCCTTCCTCCTGGCCCCCCCCTGCTCTCTGTTGAGCACTCCAGTCTCTCCTTCTTTCCTCCACCTGTCTCCCCCATCACCTGAGGGTGTGGTGGGTGATGGTGGCTCCTCCCAGCTGTGGAGGGGGGGCCTTGTTGTTTGGGTGGGGGGTTCACTGGGCCTGCAGTGAGAGGACAGCACTGAGGGCTGCTGCTGCCTGAGAGGGGAGGGGGGGGAGGGTCTAGGGAGGGGGGGCACCTCTCCACTGAGGTCACACCACCGCTGCTCCGCCACCCGTCCGGCTGCAGGTCTCTGAAAGAAAAAGTCTTGTTCAAACTGAAAAACTGGAAACTCTTTAAAGACTTAGGACGGATGATTATGTGTTCTATCTCAAACATAAAGTAATAAAGGCCTCTGTGTTCAGGAGGGTCTCATCCTTTCTGTATGACCAGAGAGTGGAAACTCACTGTACTACTTCTACACCGTCAACATTCAATCCATCATCACAGGTTTGATAAAGGTTAGCACTTTAAATATAAAAGCTTACTTCCTGAACATAATGACATCACTATGTAACATTTGCGCTTCTATTGGCTTGCGCTCCAACACATTGTACGTGATAGGCTAAGGGGCGGGACATCTCTAAGCTGTTGACCAATCACAACAGACCCGGCCAGCTAACCAATCAGAGCAGACTGGGCTCTAGTTTCAGACAGAGGGTGAAAAGAGGTGCTGCAGCACAGGCAGTATGAGAGAAATAAAGAGCTTTTTGAACATTAAAGCATGGAGACATGTCCCAGTAGAGACACTACATACTGATATACACCTGAACATCAGCAGGAGAGGACTCTTTAAAGTAGAGACACTACATACTGATATACACCTGAACATCAGCAGGAGAGGACTCTTTAAAGTAGAGACACTACATACTGATATACACCTGAACATCAGCAGGAGAGGACTCTTTAAAGTAGAGACACTACATACTGATATACACCTGAACATCAGCAGGAGAGGACTCTTTAAAGTAGAGACACTACATACTGATATACACCTGAACATCAGCAGGAGAGGACTCTTTAAAGTAGAGACACTACATACTGATATACACCTGAACATCAGCAGGAGAGGACTCTTTAAAGTAGAGACACTACATACTGATATACACCTGAACTAGGGTTGCAAAGGGGCGGAAAACTTCCGGTAAATTTCCGGAAAGTTTCCATGGGAAGTTAAGCTGGGGAATTTTGGAAATATTCGATGCAAAATTAAACAAAAAACATGACATTTCAACAGATTTTATTTTTATTTTTATTTTTTTAAGTAGAAGTTTTAATTATTTTATTGAACAATTATTTGTTTCATTGAAGAACAAAAACAGGAATGTTGAGTTAAATATTACTCATCCCCCCCAACCCCACTCATTAAAAAAATGAACAAAAATGCACCCCCCATCCAAAAATCCCCACAAAGTCCCATTCAAAATGTGAAATGAAAGAGCCCTTCTCCCTCCAAAAAGTCCCATTAAACATGCACATCTTCCTTCAAGCAATCCTCTGCATTTTTGCTAAACTCTTTCAGTCAATGGGCTCTTCCTGGGCCTCATCAACATCCAACTCTGAGTCTTCCTCTTCAGTGTCACTGTCCAGCCTTGTTGAGGATGGCTCTGTGTCAGGCTCAAAGAGCCTTAGGTTTGCCTGAATGCCAACCAGTTTTTCCACTTTTCACATTTGTGAGCCTGTTGCGAACCTTTGTGTGGTCTCAATAGCCATGCAGTAAGAAGTGTGCTATGGCATGGATATTCAAGTGTACTTGAATGGCATCTGTTTGTTTTAGTCAAGATTATGCTAAAATATACTTTCCCCAACTATATTTAACTTCCCTATGAAGTAGTGTTAATTTCGTTGACTAAAACTATGACGAAATATGTTCGTCAACGACCTTTCTTTCCATGACGAAAACGAGACGATGACGAGACGGCACCGACGGCAGTAAACAATAACTGTAAAGAAATCATCATGCAATATCGTTGACGAAAAGTGACGAGACGAAAATGTGGTTTACTAAATAAAAACTATGCCAAAATCTCTCTTTACTTTCGTTGATGAAAAAGGAGGAGACGAAATATTATCAAAGATAACGTTACATCTCTGATAGTCAGTTTTTCTCCCAGCAGTTCCATTTCCGGTGCTGCGGCTGGGTGCAGCAGCTGTGTGTCTGTGCTGCGCGCGGCAGTACATTTGAATTACACCGGGCAGCGGCACAATACGAACTGTCAGGAAGACTCGGGTCTAACTCATGGTCTAACTAACCTTATTTAACAGAAAATAAAATGGCAACAACGGGGCTTGGGAGCAGTGGTCGCACTCGCGTTAACCGAATACCCCCCCGTCAGCGCGAGTGAGTGATAAATTGTGCACTCGACGGGTAATAATGGATTATGACGGAAATGTTACGATCCTGTCTGTCAAAATGACTGACAACGAAAAAGTCTAAAGCCACCACTGCTTGGGAGAAAGAAACAATGTGATATGTGGGCCCATTTTCGCTACAATGAGGCGGAGAAAAAAAGCGAGTGCATTGTTTTATCAGAAGGGAAGCAATGTGGCCATAACACAGCTGGTAAAAACACCACAAACCTGACCAGATACTCTGTGCAAAGCTGCATTCTTAATCATTCAACCTGTGTTTTTCATCAAATAAGGACAAGATATAATCTTATTGTGAAATAAGTTTGACTAAAATGACAAATTATTGGTTTTGGCTAGACTAGTTTGACTGAAATGTTCCATATAATCTGATGACTAAAAAAGACTCAACAGTTTTCATTGACAAAAAGTAGACTAAAAGTCTGAGCATTTTAGTCTTATTTTAGTCAAAGAAAACTAATTATTTTAGTCGACTAAATCTTGACTAAAATAGTTACTGTTTTAGTCGACTAAAATAAGACTAAAATGCTCAGACTTTTAGTCGACTAAAACTTGACTAAATAAAAACAGGATGAAGGTGACTAAATATGACTAAAACTAAAAAGGAAATTTAACACAGGACTAAGACTAAAACTAAATAAAAAAATAGCTGACGAAATTAACACTACTATGAATAGCCAACCTTCAATTTAGAAAATTCCCAGTTTATTCCCATAAATTCCTGTTAATTCCCATGGAAAGTTTCCATCTTTGAAAATTCCCAGAATTTTGCAACCCTAACCTGAACATCAGCAGAATAGGGCCCCTTTCATTATGATGTGCCTCTAACTATGAACATGATACATTGTGTTTCACTGTGATGCTGTCGCTTTGTCCCACCTTACAGATATAGCGGTCGCTCTCCATGTTTTCAGAGTTAATGACTAAAACATGTTTAGAAAAATGAATATTGAAGATATGTTTTTACATTTTTTAAGCAGCTTGAATCGTATTAATTTGGATTTAACATGTATCTTTATTTATTTATTAAAGAAGTACATTGTATTGGATAATATTATTTATCTTGTTTAAAAAAAAAAAATTATTCTTTTAATTCAACTGTTCAAGTTTTATTTGAATACATGCATGATGTTTCCAAAGTTTATGAGTTATGGTGATAAATAATCGTGATTTCAATATTGACCAAAATAATCCTGATTATGATTCTAACCATATGTATGTATAACCAATGTATATTTTATGTTTTTAATATTTTTTAAAAGATGCACACACATCTGACAGAGCGCTCTCTGTGCGTCTGTGGGAGATGATCCTGATCACCTGGAGCATGACGACACACACCACTGCAGCGTATGCAAGCACACAGCAGGAACATTTGAGAACATTTGAGAACATTTGGAACGTGGCGTGTTCTCTGTAATGCGAGTGTTGTATGAGTTTCATCATGTGGGGTGAGGAACCGTACCGCTACAGACGGAGGAGGAAGAGGAGGAGGAAGGTCCCAGAGCTGGTCCTCCTGCAGAGCGCTCCTCAGAGCCATCGCCCACAGCCGCTCTGCTGCAGGCAGCTGCTGGAGGCTCCACCACCCCCCAGGAGGAGCCTCCACCCTGCAGCAGCAGGGGTACAAAAGGAATCTATTACAATACGTAGTTAAACAGAAAACTAATGTATTCAGTAACCTAAGTATCACAATATACAAGTAATGTAACCTGTTACTTTCAGTTACCTCAATTTCAAATGCAATGCAAATAAATACAAGAGTAAAAAATGATCGTTTTAGTTTTTTTAATCATATATAAAACAACAGATTTTTTGAAATGTAACATTAATCTGATTATGTATTTGTTATGTAACTGTAAGGGAATACAGTTACCTTTTTTGTATCCTGATTCCGTTATCCTGTTACATGTAATCACCATATACTGTAATATATCATATTACACACAGTACTCCTCTCCTCTTATCTTACAGACCCTGAGAATCAGAATCAATCTCACACCACATGTTGTGTGTATCACAGGAGTTTTAATCTGATCAAGAGTTTTTCAGATGTATAAAATCCTGATTTAATCTTCTGATACCCAACGTGAACGGTGATAGCTTTTATTATATATTTTTACTTTTGACTTTATTTTTTCTATTTATTTGTTCACGTTTATTTATAGAGCACCTTTCAACACAAGGCAATTCAAAGTGCTTTACAAAAATGAAAGACATTAAGAGCATTAAGAAACATATTATAAAATGACATTTAAAAACACTAATTTAAAAGCAAAGATAATAAAAGTTACAGTGCAGTTTAAGATATGAATATATCAATTAAAAGCAGCGGCAAAAAGAAAAGTCTTCAGCCTGGATTTAAAAGTAGTAAGAGTTGCAGCGGACCTGCAGGTTTCTGGGAGTTTGTTCCAGATATTTGGAGCATAATAACTGAACGCTGCTTCTCCATGTTTAGTTCTGACTCTGGGGACAGAAAGCTGACCAGTCCCTGAAGACCTGAGAGATCTGGATGGTTCATAATTTAGCAGTAGGTCAGACATGTATTTTGGGCCTAAACCATTCAGTGCTTTATAAACCAGCTGCAATATTTTGAAATCTATTCTTTGACACACAGGAAGCCAGTGTAAGGACTTCAGAACAGGAGCGATGTGATCCACTTTCTTAGTGTTAGTAAGGACTCGAGCAGCGGCGTTCTGAATTAGCTGCAGCTTTCTAATATATTTTTTAGTGAGACCTGCAAAGACACCATTACAGTAGTCGAGTCTACTGAAGATAAAAGCATGGACAAGTTTTTCCAAATCCTGCTGTGACATTAATCTTTTAATCCTAGATATGTTCTTTAGGTGATAGTAGGCTGATTTAGTAACTGTTTTAATGTGACTGTTGAAACTCAGGTCAGAGTCCATGACTACACCTAGATTTCTGGCTTTATCTGTTGTTTTGAACATTGCAGACTGAAGCTCAGCGCTAACTTTTATACGTTCTGCCTTGGCTCCTAAAACCATTACCTCAGTTTTATCTTTGTTTAATTGGATTTGTCATTGATTTGTTCAATGCACTTACTCAGTGTTTGAATTGGAGAATAGTCACCTGGTGAAATTGTTACGTAAATTTGTGTGTCATCCGCATAGCTATGGTAACTTATTTTGTTGTTTTTCATTATCTGAGCCAGCGGTAGCATGTAGACGTTAAAGAGAAGAGGCCCCAAGATGGAGCCTTGAGGAACCCCACATGTCATATTTGTCAACTCAGATGTGTAGTTACCTATAGAAACAACGTTTTTTCTGTCCTTTAAAGTAGGATTCAAACCAATTTAGAACTGTTGCCGAAACTCCCATCCAGTTTTCCAGTCGGTCTAGTAATATGTTGTGGTCCACAGTGTCAAACGCAGCACTCAGATCTAATAATACTAACACTGAAGCCACTGTCTGTGTTTAAGTGGATGTCATTGAAGACCTTAAGAGCAGTCTCACGGCCCGTCCACACAGCGGCGTGCATTGAAGCTTGCTCCATTTTTTGGAATATGAGGAAATGACCTGCGGTGTGTCTCTCCCAGCATACACGCGGTTTGATTGGCTGCATAAACGGGATTTGATTGGCTGACGCTTCCATCGAAGCTTCAGAAGCTTCAAAAGTTGAACATTTCTCAACTTTTGCAGCGAGCCACGCCAGCAAAGCTCCGCTTCGCTTCCCACAATGCAGTTCGGCGAAAAGTGACGTCACCCCATTCAAGTGAATGGTGAAGCTTTCAACGCACACCGCTGTGTGGACGGGCCGTTAGTGCTGTGGTTTGGACGAAAGCCTGACTGGAACACATCCAAACAGTTATTTAAATGCAAGAAATTACTCAACTGTTGAAAAACAACTAATGCTGCGTTCACACCGGACGCGATGCGAATATTCGCTTCGCTCTAATCGCTCCTATCGCATCGCTCTAAACGCTCGAGTTTCACCGCGGCTGCCAGCTGTGTTTACTCGCATCATTCAAACAAGACGCGCTGGCTCGGGAGCTACAACTACAACAAAATGAACATATTTTACCGTGATTAAATTGTAATACACGTTTCTAAATGATGCCGAAGTAACAACATACTCATACCGGTTAGTAAAAACCATGAATTAATGCTTTGACAAATCTGCAGACAAGACGGCAGGCGAAAAATCTTTTAAAATGCTTGTTTTCTGAATGAAGATCGGGTCGACCAGGCTAAGCTAACGTTGTATATGCTCATTCCACACTCATAACAACGGCCTACAGACATAAATAAACCAGCGACTGTATTCGCCATGACACAGGCAGTCTGTGGTTTGTACTTGTTTAACTTTTGTCCAGTTTCTGAACAGATATGAGGAGCTGTGAGCTCTGTGTGCTAACTGCTAACAGCTAACGGCTGATGTTGTGTGGTTGAAATTCAGTGACGGCAGGCTGAGATCCTCACTGCTGATTCCGCGAGAACGCGTCACGTGAATTTGACGCTCGAGTTGAAAAAATTGAACTCTCGCGTTTAACGCGGCACCGTTCAATCGCGTGATTCGCGCCGCGTCCACCACTTCATGCGCGCCGTCGGAGCGAATTCGCGTCTGTCCGCATCTCTTCATTGACTGTACATGTAATCGCGCCGCCCCCAAACATCGCATCGCGTCCGGTGTGAACGCAGCATAAGAGCGGTTTAATGACTGCAGTTTTCAGGGCCTGTGGAAAAACACCTGAGTGAAGAGACTTGTTTACTATATGAAGTAGATCTGAGGCCAAGCAATGAAAAACATTTTTGAAAAATCCTGTTGGAATAATATCAAGGCAGCAGGAGGAGGATTTCAGAAGTTGAATAATGTCTTCTAGGTTTTTATCATTAATCTGATGGAATTGTGTCATGGTGATTTTAAGTGGACACAGGGACAAAACATTTGCTGTACCTGATACGGAGGCACTGACTGCTTGTCTAACTTTCAGAATTTTGTCAGTGAAGAAGGAGGCAAAGTCATTGCAGGCCCTGGCGGATAGAGATTCAGATGCTACTGGCACTGGGGGGTTTGTTAGTCTGTCAACGGTAATGATGTCAGAGAAGAAAGACTGTTGTGCAATTTTCAATTCCAAATTATAAAAGCCAAGTCTCATCTATGTATTTTAAATCTGTAAATATATTATTTATGAAAGTGCTCTTTGATCTGGTGCACAGTGTCTGCTTGTGTGAATCACAAAGTAAGAGAGAGGAAGATGTAAATCCAATCTGTGTGATTAAAAAAGTTAAAATGTTATTTTTAGAAAGAAAACTGCATAACATGTTGAGCCATACAGGTGCATAATGACCACTGAATGGCAAGTTGGTACTGTGGTGACATCTGAATCAGGATTGGTTGCCGTGCCTGTTGTCGTGTTATTATTGTTGAAAGGGCTGCACAATTAATCAAACATTTCCTCAAAATGTTTATTAAATTATCCCAATTGCAGGAACACAATATTTGTTAAAGGCAAAAAATCATTTTCTAGAGACTTTCTATAGAAAATATATTTTCTTGGTACATATCCTCTTCAAACGTCACACCGTAATCACTTAATCTATTTTACAATGATAATGACAATTATGATGCAAAAATGATCAATTCCTCCAACATTGTAAATCCTATTGCAATATCAGTCAAAAATAATTGCAATTAGTTATTTTTTCCAAATCGTGCAGCCATAATAGATATTACTGAAAGCTGCTTTAAATCCTCCTGGCTTCATCTTTTTCATGTGTTCACTCAGTACTTTCTGTCATTTGGTTGTCTGTGTTTTCATCTCTTTATGTTCTGTACACAGGCAGGGCCGGCCCTTGGCACTGGCGAACTAGGCGGCCGCGTAGGGCGCCAGATCTGGAGGGGCGCTGCGCTGGGAGAAAAAAAATAATAATAAAAAATATATTAAAATTAATTCTTTTATTCTGCCTAATTGTCTGCCCTTGATGTAATACATTTACATTAATAATTGAATAAAGTAAACACCCTTTGCACCCCGGGCCGGCAACATTTTGCATTTGCCCATTACGATGATGGGCGCTGTAAGTGATGAAAGTGGGGGATGTTGACTTATCAGGTGCCCGCAGCTCACAGCCAAAGTGCGAGCGGGCCTCCGAGCGAGCAAGAGAGAGAGAGAGAGGGCGCGCATCGGTACCGCGGAGTGTTGTTGGATTGAGGCTGATAACTACAGCACAGTGAGGTAAAGGACTCTGAGTGTTTAGATAGTTCACTTTAGTCTAAGTTATCTCAGTGGGTCTCAAACGGTTTGGTCACAATTTATGTAAACAAATATTTCCAAGGCACTCCTTTATAATTATTAGGATAAATAACAACAGGTTTGAAATCATTCCAATGTATACTATAGGACAGTAAACCAAAAATATCGTTTAAAACTGGAGATATAAAAAAAAATGCATGAATAAATAAATGTTAACTAGGTAAAATAAGATATGAATGAACAACAAAAATAAAATAAGTTACATTTATTTGTTATTGGCTATGGTAGGTTATTGGTTATGTTCACATACTTATTTGATTATTAAAATGTAAACCGATCTTTTTCATATGGGTGTTTTAGAGTTGTACCCCCTAGATCTAGTCTCTAGTAATTCTGCTCAAAGTGCACCAGATTGAAGCATTTTACTTTAAAAAATATCTTTCCAGGGGGGCAAACCCCCGGACCCCCCTAGAGGATGTGACGTCCACCCCACAATTAAAACATGTTCATACAATACTGAATACATTTGAAACCTTTATGTATAACGTATTGACATGTTGGTACATGTCAATACGTTTCAGTTTTTGTAGTGTATTGGTCTGTGGTAGAGATGTTTCATTTATTCTTTCATTTCATTTCAAACCTTTATTTAACCAGATTGGTCCCATTGAGATCGTAGATCTCTTTTTCAAGGGAGACCTGCATATACCTATATATCCTATTGTGTATTGCTTGCAGGGGGGGGCACCAAATCATAATCTCGCCTAGGGCACCAAAATGTCTAGGGCCGGCCCTGTACACAGGACATCTGTTCACTGTCTGTCCTGGGAGAGGGATGCTGCTCTCCTCTAGGTTTTTTAAATGTTTCCCTGTTAATTGTGGGTTACTTTGAGAGTTCTATCTTTTACACTGCGAGGGTCTTAGGTCAGAGTGTGTTGTATAAAGTACAGATTGTAAATCCCCCTGCGGCCAATTTGATCGTTTTAAAATTGGGTCTATAAATACAAATGTGATGGGTTGATGAATCTGTGTTTTCTCCTTTAGTGCAGATTCTGGGCTCCACATCTGACCTCTCAGTTATTTGAAATCTATATGTGCATTCCTGTTTGGTTGTTTGCATTTGGGACAAAATTATCCTAAAAGCTGTCAAGGAATTCCTTCCATCTTGGATCAAGCCTTAAACGAATTTAGGACTTTTAGTTGCACCTTTGCAATATAATAACTAAATAAAACTGCACCTTCTTTGATACGCTTTATGTTCCTTTATTGTTGGCAAAGTCTCATAGAAGAAAATCATTTCTATGGCTAGAGCTATTATTGTAATTAATAAATACTATTTCCAGCACAATTTAAGTAACTAACTACATAGTCATTGTATTATTGTCTCCTTGGGGGGCTGATTTCAGAACTCATTTGATAAGTGTCCTCCCACCTTTTCCTATCTTTCCTATAACCATAAATATGGTCTCAGCTTTCCTTGACGTTTTGAGAGGGGAAATAAAGAGTATTTTTAAAACCAAAGTTTGTTGTTGTTGTTGTTATTGTTGTTGTTTGACGACCAACATGCCACATTATTCAGGCTTGTATGTAGAAGGTCTTCAGTTAGGTCCTGTATGCAGTGGTCTAAACGTAATCAAGTACATTTACTCAAGTACTGAAGTACACATTTGAGATACTTGTACTTTACATTTTATGCTACTTTGTACTTCTACTCCACTACAATTCAGAGGTAAATGGTGTACTTTTCCTCCACTACATGTATTTAATACCTTTAGTTACTTTACAGATCTGGATGAATGATGTGAAATATAATCAAGTGTTAAATCAGACTTTAGTTACACCTGGAGTAAATTCACAAGCTACCCTGCAGTATACAAAGTCATTCAAACTAGCTGCACCTTTACCAGCTTTGATAACACTGTAATGATCAATAATTATAAAACATATCATATAGGCCTATGTTATTCTGAAATTGACCAATCTACACAATGACTACTTTTACTTTTGGTACTTTAAATATATTTGATGCTTATACTTTTCTACATTTAGTTGACATTTTGATTGCAGGACTTTAATTTACCAGTGTAGGAGTAACAGATTATTCCTACACTGGTACTTTTACTCATGTACAAGATCTGAGTACTTCTTTCACCTCTGTCTGTTGTCGCGTTCTTCCGCTAATAACCAATACAAAATAACACTGTTATGTTTGAATGGAGGTTTGTTCTCTAGTTTGGCGTTTCACTTTCCCCTCAGACAAATACGTTATTTAAGTCCCTAGACAAAACTGTGGAACATGTATGAAAACAATATATATTCTAAACTTCTGCCCTTTTTTAATGTGATGAACATGACGCTAAACACCCACCTTCCCGTCGGCGCAGTGCTGTCTCTGGGGAAGGCAGGACTCCTCCGCGCGGTCCCACCGGAACTTATTTCCGGCTGTAGCTCTTTGACTGACACTTTATTCCGTTTAAGTTTAGACTTGGAATATTTTTCAGCCATTTCTTTTAGTTATTTTTAACAACATGTTCGAACATTCCGCGCGAGTGTGAGGAACCCGGATGCAGATGGAACTTCCTCTTCTTCTCTTCGTCGAGCAGCTTGGATTTGAACACCGCTTCCTGCGAGAAGGGTCCAGCTGCTGCTGCAGCCAATATGGTCTAGCTGCGGCAGCGGCAAGTACACGACACTACACGACACGCCCCCTACACGACACGCCCACCTGACACGACACTACGGTGGCTGAGAGATCGTACATGGCAGATTAAAAACGAATTGCAAATGTTATTGTAGCATTTTAAGCAACTATTAGGCAAATAAATTACGAACCTAGTCTATCCGTTTGAGACACAACAGTATAACTTTCAACCCAAATCATTTTGTCAACAAACGGTGGTTTAGTAAACTTTTTTTTAATATATAAAATAGGTATTAATGAGATAATCTATTAATTATGCATGTTCAGTTAGCATACATACGGTGGCCCTGAAGTGCAAGTCAAAACAACATTTCAGAAAACGCTACAGCATTTCAGAAAACACCACAGCATTTCAGAAAACACTACAGCATTTCAGAAAACGCTTCAACATTTCAGAAAACACTTCAGCATTTCACAAAACACTACAGCATTTCAGAAAACGCTTCAACATTTCAGAAAACACTTCAGCATTTCACAAAACACTACAGCATTTCAGAAAACACTTCAACACTTCAACATTTCAACTTTTACAGAAAGGGTATTCCTTTAGGGAGAAGACTTCTTGTTTGTGATTGGTTGTTTTTGCTGCCAGTCAAGAAATGACGCTTCGTGATTGGTCAGCACCCGACAGCTCAACATGTCCCAAAACATCAGCCGTTAGCTCTCCATTCAGAAAACACGCATTTTAAAAGGTTTTTCGCCTGCCGTTTTGTCTGCACACTTGTCAAAGCATTAATTCATGTTTTTTACTAACCGGTATCAGTATGTTTTTACTTCGGCATCATTTTGAAACGTGTATTACAATTAAATCACGGTAAAATATGTTCATTTTGTTGAAGTCTACCATAGTATTTACATGGAGATAAACCCCGAATATTCACATCAGCAGGTCACCCTTGAAAAAGAGATCAATGATCTCAATGGGATTCACCTGCATAAATAAAGGTTTGAAATGAAATGAAATCGCTCTAATCGCTCGGGTTTCACCACGGCTTTCAGCTATGTTTACTCCTGTCATTCAAAAAAGACGTACTGGAGAGGGGGCGGGGCTTATATCCATGCAAATACTATGATAGATACCAACTACAACAAAATGAACATATTTTACCGTGATTTAATTGTAATACACGCATAGGCGGCGCGTGAGGCTCAGGTTTGGGAAGGCTAAATAACTTGTTTTACCTGACGCTGCCCGCCTCCGGCGTCTATAGATAAGAGATCAAGTCAGTGAAAGCACCGCCTGCTGACCAATCAGAGCTCAGTGTGCGGAGTTTAAATCTATCAAGTCATATTACAGGATAAAGGAAATACAGAACAACTGCCGTATGCAGGGAAGACGCCGACGAGTCGCACTTATCATTCATATCACATCATCAATCACATCATCGATCATATAATATCATAATATATCATATATTTCCATATCTGAGTCAGCTTCTCGAGCCGTATCTGGCCGTGCAACACTTACAGTGTCACATAGCCTACTGTATGCAGAAGTATTATTTTAAGCAACACATTAAGTTGACGAAACACTCAACTCAAATGTAATTAAAGTCAGATCACTCGTGTCTTAGATGAGGCAGTGATATCATAAACCTGTTAATGTAGGCCTACGCATTCAAACACTCTGTAGTTTATTTATTTTTTAACCAGCTGTTCTGTATTCACCTTGCATGTGCAACTATGTTGCTTTTATCCTGGATAAAGTGTTTAAGTCATGGATGTTTAAAGTTTAACTTCTTCATATTTGTCTAATATTATAGTTTCATTTTCATTAATGAAGTATGACGCTGCGCTGTCAGTACGCTTGTCCATGTTTGTGATTGGTCAAATGTTGCTAGCCCCGCCCCTTGAACGCGCTCTCAGCCGGACAGAGAAACCCTGGGTTGAGTTACCGAGTTGATAACCAGCGCTGTAGGACCGTTTAGCGAGATCTCGTTTGTTAGGATTAGTTAAGATAACTCAAACATATCCAGGGTATGTTGAACTGGCTTCGTAGTACAGTTTACTGGTGGCTGCATAGCAGCGCTAATGTCAAAGACACAAACATCAGTGTTTCCCCTACCACTGTCTTAGAGGGGCGCTGCGCCCCGCCAACGGAGCCCCCCGCCCCCCCTGAAATTCAAGGTGTTTAAAAAAAAAAAAACATTAGAATAAAATATATATATATAGCACTTTTGTCCAGTTTCTGAACAGATATGAGGAACTGTGAGCTCTGTGTGCTAACAGCTAACGGCTGATGTTTTGGGACATGTTGGGCTGTCGGGTGCTGACCAATCACGAAGCGTCATTTCTTGATTGGCAGCAAAAACAACCAATCACAGCAGTGCTTCTCTGGCTGGCTCTGTCCAATCACAAACAAGAAGTGTTCTCCCTAAAGCCCTTGTTACACTGTCCCGAAATTGACACCAGATGGACACACGAATATGGAATTATGAATTTTGCACGAAGATGGCCCCGAAGTTGGTCAACAGCCAAGCAACAGCCGAAGCAAGTACGATGCCTACAGAAGGCCACACGATGGCACCCGAACCACACACGAAAATATGGTCGTAGACTTTACTGATGATTTAAAATGTATCCAGACTCAACGTAAGAGCTTGTGCCTCTTCGGGGGGTGCTAACATTTAAACATACACTTTATTCTTTACTTTCTCCGTCTTTATATGTAGATTAGAAGATATTACTTATCTCCAACAACAACTTCCTGTCAACAGCGTAAACTCGCCTTCAAAATCAAAGCATCTAAATAAAACAGGAAGTTAACCTAAATTACATTTAAGACATACAACTGCAACGAAAGTAACAAAAACAATGTAACAACCTTTTCAGTTTCACAGAACACAAATTGAGTTATTTACATAATATGTTTACATGATTTTGTTGTGCAATAAATGCAATCTCAATGTCATCGTACTATAATACGATGGCTACACGACGGCATTGCGAGGGCTTCACGTAGTCGTGTTGCCTTCCTAAGACAATCGGGCAGCTTCTTGTTTCCTTCGTATTGTCTTCGTGAGGCGAAAAATGCCCGATGGCACCGATGATCAGACGAAGATGACACGATTTGACAAGATGCCCTCACGAGTGCCTTATGAAGGGCAAAATGGACACAATTCAACACGAAAATTAACCTTCGCAAGGTGCCACCGCTTCGCAAGGTGCCACCGCTCACGAAGTTGCTGCCGGAGCCTGAGAAACTCCACTGGCGGTCATACGATGGCTTAAGATGCCCTCACGAATGGCCCGATGTTGTTACGATCAGAGCCGAATTTGAACATTTCCTTTATCGTGTGTCCATCTGGGGTCAATTTCGGGACAGTGTGACAGGGGCTTAAAGGAATACCCTTTCCGTAAAAGTTTAAATGTTGAAGTGTTTTCTGAAATGCTGTAGTGTTTTGTGAAATGCTGTAGTGTTTTCTGAAATGCTGTAGTGTTTTGTGAAATGCTGTAGTGTTTTCTGAAATGTTGAAGTGTTTTCTGAAATGCTGTAGTGTTTTGTGAAATGCTGTAGTGTTTTGTGAAATGCTGTAGTGTTTTGTGAAATGCTGTAGTGTTTTGTGAAATGCTGTAGTGTTTTGTGAAATGCTGTAGTGTTTTCTGAAATGCTGTAGTGTTTTGTGAAATGCTGTAGTGTTTTCTGAAATGCTGTGGCGTTTTCTGAAATGCTGTAGCGTTTTCTGAAATGTTGTTTTGACTTGCACTTCAAGTTGCAGTACCGCCGTTTGGACACTACGAATTGTGGGAACAGAGTCCGGAGCACTTCCTGGGGGCTTGGATTTTTTTTTTTTTTTAGGTTTCTCATTTCCCTAATTTCCCCTCCTCGAACTCCTCGAATCCTCGGTCCTCCGGTAGTGACCCGGAAATGGATTTCAGCGCACCATGTTGAAGGACATCTAATTTCTCTAAATGCACATCGAGGACCGAGGATCGAGCGTTGAGGAGGCTGTCTGGAGGAGCTATAGCCGAGGATACACTGATGGTTCCTCCGTGGGTCCTCCGCGGATGTATTTCCGGCAACAGTGATGTTTCAAAGAGTCGTGAAGCACACCCGGACTTATCTCAGCCAATGACAGCTCTGCATGCATCCCCTGGATATTATTTTATTAACTGCTTTCATCGCAACGCGATGTTTACAGAGAGAACAGCTGTGAGGTCCGTTCAGAAAGCAGAGCAGTGTGAATAATATATATCACTCAGTATAACAGGCCTACATTACTCTCTTTATTTGTATGCTTTAGTTTAGTAGATATCTACAAACAAAGAGTCAATATTTTTCTAAGACCATTTAGTGCTTCACATAATAAAATACACACTAATACTTGTAAATAAAACTTTTGGCCCGTAATTTCAATTCCCCATTTCAGTGACCAGAGAGGGGGGGGGGGGGGGATATATCCAGTCTCTGAATGTGTTACGTTATTATGAGAGTGCTCTCATACTTGTTTGATTCTGAAATTGTATATATTTATATAAATATATGTCTGTGTATATGTCCGCATCTGTAGCCTGTTATTGTCTCATTATACCGCACTGTGAATGAATTAAAAGTAAATACCACTCAGAGGAGAGGATTTCTCAATACTCTAACCGCCTGCTGCTTGACTCGGTTTGCATTTATAAAGAATGCACAAATGTGTTTAATCGTTAATGTCAGATATGTACTAAGTAAATACATTTGTTCCTGCTCAAGATTAGATTCAACTTTATTGTTATTGCACAGATTACAGGTACTGAGAAAAGCAGTTTAGCTTCTAACCAGGAGTGCAAAAAGCAGTAAAGTGAAAAGTAATGTACACAATCTACAGAATAAAATATAGAATGAATTGAATGATGAATAAACAGTGAGGGGTATGAATACACTAGATATACACAGTAGCCTATATGAACAGTATTAACAGTGTGTATGAATATGCTAAAATATATAAAGTATGAAAACGGTAAGCAGTGCAAG